AGACAAGATGATGGCGCATAAATTCCGCGATAAGCTGGTCATTTTTTCACTAATAATCTCTAGTTGATGTTGGGGAAAGGGGGGAAGGAGGGGGGTGGTGGCTGGTGATGTTGGTGACTGTTGGTGAGTGGTGGTGAGAAGTGAGAGGGAAGAGGAGGCGTAGTGATGGTGGTGGTGAGGAGTGAGAGGAAGGAGTGGGTGGTCGTGAGGTGAGGAGGAAAAGTGTGTGTGTGTGGTAGAGGCGGCAGTACTAGATGAGAGGGCCACAAGACAAAAGAATTGCTCACAAGACATGAATGGGAACGGGCCGAGAGAGGGAGGGAGAAAGGGGAGGTTAGGGAGAGAAAGAGGGAGCAGAAGGAAGGAAGATATAGGGGAGAAAGGGAGGGAGATATGTGGATAGAGAGGGAAAGAGGAAGGGAGGATCAAAGGCTAGGGTGAGACAGGTAGGATAGGAGGTAGGAGGGAAGGAGAAAAGGGAGAGGGAAAGAATGGGAGAAGGGAGGGAGAGAGGGAGGAGGGTAGGGAGGGTAAGGAAGGAGGGAGGGAGAGGAGGTGAACGTCTCAGAAGACAGTCACAGTAAGGGCGAAGGTTATAATAATGGTGAAACTTCAAGGTGTTCTCTCTCGTCGACGTGTGAGTGTGGTGGTGGGTGTGGCGGCGAGTAGTGTGAGTGTGGTGGTGGGTGTGGCGGCGAGTAGTGTGAGTGTGGTGGTGGGTGTGGCGGCGAGTAGTGTGAGTGTGGTGGTGGGTGTGGCGGCGAGTAGTGTGAATTAACCAGGTGGTGGTGGGTGTGGCAGCAGGCCAGGCTGGGCCGTAACAGGTGGTGGTGTGGCATGTAGATAGTGCCAGTGTGAGTGTGGTGGTGGGTGTGGCGGCGAGTAGTGTGAGTGTGGTGGTGGGTGTGGCGGCGAGTAGTGTGAGTGTGGTGGTGGGTGTGGCGGCGAGTAGTGGGTGTGGTGGTGGGGCAGTAGGTGTGAGTGTGGTGGTGGGTGTGGCGGCGAGTAGTGTGAGTGTGGTGGTGGGTGTGGCGGCGAGTAGTGTGAGTGTGGTGGTGGGTGTGGCGGCGAGTAGTGTGAGTGTGGTGGTGGGTGTGGCAGCGAGTAGTGTGACTGTGGTGGTGGGTGTGGCGGCGAGTAGTGTAGATAGTGTTGATGGTCGGGACTGTGGTAGTAGACGAAGGGGATAGATTAGGCTAGTGTTGAGGGAGACAGAGTTTTGTTGGGATCTAGAAATAGCGCGCGCGTGTGTGTGTGTGTGTGTGTGTGACGAATATCTACCAGGTGTATCAGACAGGAGTTGATGAAGAGGAAGTTGTCGAGGACAGAGCCAAGGTTGAACTGGCTGTAGTAATATAAAAATGTACGCAAAATCCACGCTTACGTGGGCCTGACGTGCGCTGATTGGCCCACGCCCACCATGACGTTTACTACAGTCCTTAAGTGAGGTTTAAGGTTTAAGTTTTAGGTTTAACATATTTCTTTAAGGTTTATAAGTTTGTGCAATTTATGTCGTAAGGGCTTGTGATGGTCAGTTGAACACCATAAAGGATAAGAACCAATCGGAGAATATTTTGCCCCCATACACGTGGTTTCTGCCCGGTGGGAGGGTTAAAGGGAGGGGGGGTCGTCGGGGTCAGCTTTCTGATGATGCCGTCAGCTTATAAGGCGGCGGACACAGTTCTAAGAGCCTCCTTGCCACTGGGGATCATTTTATTTACATAATAATTATCACAACCGGCTGCTGCTATTGCTGAGAGAGAGAGAGATTATGCATGTATGTATGTATGTATGTATATATGTATGTATGTATGTATGTATGTATGTATGCATGTATGTATTACCACTACGCACACACACACACACACACACGGGTCTCACCACCAACACCACAACTACCCAACGCTTCCGACGCCCCATTAGAAAAAAACCACACACGAACTAATTGGATTCTTAACATACGTAATGATCGAGCCACAAGAATATACCAGCAATACCTTAACAACTATGACTGCTACCCTCCCTTAAGGCATTTTGACGAGAGAGAGAGAGAGAGAGAGAGAGAGAGAGAGAGAGAGAGAGAGAGAAAGAGAGAGATACGATGTCTAGATCAAGAGAAAGACACCAAGGATGTTTTTGGTATTACTCATAAACGATATTCAGATGAAGTTTCTTTATCATTATTACAAATTTAAAACACAGACATTATCGCACAAAAGAAAACAAAACACGTACGACCTTGTTCCTGATAAGATCTTAAGTGAGTAGTGCTTGATGCTCTCAGTTGGTGTATAAATGCGTAAACAATGAGGAGAGAGTGTGAAGCAGGGAGTAGTGTATCAGTCACTCCTGGGATTCACACTTGACGACTCACATGGTATTGACGTCCTGATGTAAATGTGTTGCTATAGTGGGGAGGGAGAGGGGAGGTATAAGGGGGGAGAGGGATGAAGGGGAAGGGAGAGGGATGGTGAGAGGGAGGGAGTGATTAAAGTCGACTGTCATCTCTCTCGGCCACTATCACCCACAAGGTCGTTCTGATGATTGTACAATACATCAAGTAAAAATATTATTAAAAAAAAAAAGAAAAAAAGATGATTAATGGTGAGGTGAAACGGACGCATCACCAAACTAATCTTGCGACACGTTTACGACTACGACATAACATCTGATACGACCCCCCGACGTATGACAAAAAAAAAATATGTACAACACGACACGATACCATACGTGACTCCAACACAAAACACAATATCACACGCTGCCCCAAACGACATACCACGACATAACGACACGACGCAACACACAATATGACGTACAGTATGACCCTACAACACACTAGATGGATTATAAGACAGTGGTGAAGCTCTTGGTGGTGTTACCTGTCTTCAATGTTGCTCTTACCTTAGGCGTCAGTAAGCAATTACCTTGTGTTTACCTGCCGTTAGCTTCGAGGGGTCTAGGTTCTCCCCTCCCCCCACCCCGCCCCCATCCGCCCCTCACATCCTAGCCCTGTCTCTTGCCTAATCAGAGAGAGAGATAGAGAGAGAGAGAGAGAGAGAGAGAGAGAGAGAGACACACACGACTTCATACACTATATTACATCAGTAGCCATCACTCTCAACCACACACAAGTACATCAATTACACTATGACAAACAACGATGAAACGACGAAACAGTAATTACCTCTACTTGATATTTGCTGACTAAGGTAAAACAATGTAAACAATACCTGAAACAACACGTGAAAAGGGGGATCGAACCCTCCAAGCAGCGGGTCTGGGAGCGTCTTGTGCGATGCCAATATTTTATCATTACAGTCCGACGTTATCTCCCTCCCTAACTCGCTGTGGATCCTTACTGATGTATTGCCAAAAATTCAATTAGGATCTGGCGGCGAGGAACTGGTAAATTAGTGGACTTCGAGGCTCTTATGAATATTTCATCCCTCCGTCGGTGGTGGCATGGGAACCTGCGACCCTCCCTCCGCCTCGTTCTCCTCTTCCTCCTCCTCTTCTTCCTCCTCTTCTTCTTCCCACGGGGATCGAAAGTAACCATGATGGCTCAGTATACCATAGATATTTAATCAACACAAAGGAAGTTATAGTTTCACTCCAGATTTATCGATAGCTGTTGTCTCAAGTCGCTTGTGGAGATGAAGGCGCGGGTTGGTACAGCCAGAGTAAATATTGACACGGGTTCAAGCCCAACATTTGTCTTAAGATTAAACCAATTACACTTTTAAGTCTGATGCTGTGGGAGGTCTGAGCGAGGCCGTGACGTGCCCCGCCAGCCTTGCCACTTGTACGGGCGTCACCCTGGCCATCCATCATCCTCCGGGGGTAGATGGGAGACACCTCCATACCTCAACACTCTCTCATTAACTATCTCCGTCTGGCATCTCTGTGTTACCTGCTAACTATGGAAGTGTGGCCGCGGGTTAGAGTGCAGGAGCAGACAGCAACAGATGAGCTAGAATGAGTAAGAAGAGGCAAACAGCAGGTCGGCTTTGTTAGTGCTCACTTTGTATCTGTACTTTTTTTCCGGTTAAATAAACTATTTCAGTCAATCAATCAACCAGTATGTGACGTACAGCAGTAGGGAAGGGTGACAGGTATCAGCAGTGTTGGGTCACCTGCTGTGCTCGTGAGGCGGCCGGCCACCACCTGCACCTTTTTATTGACTGTGTTTTCACTGATATGTATATCTGAATACCCAGGTATATTATATATTTAGTAGACACTTGTATACAGGAGGTGTGGATAAAGTTTTACGATGCTAAGAATGAGGTAGGGAGGGACAGCAGAGTTCCCTGGGGGTGGGGGGAGGGAGGTGGCGTGGGGTGAAGATTAACACGACTAGTGGCACCCGCCAGCACCAGTATAATTACCATGATTACTTTTTACCTCTGGCTACAGTCACATGTGTTAGTATGATAACTGCTTCACTAGTTGTATCTTCTCGACGCAGTGTCAACAAATGTTTTCTTGAGGGACGTTTACACAACCATCCAACAGAACAGTAATTACAGTTAAACTTAAACAACAAAATCCAAATATACTCCAGGTGTTATGATTTATGGTATTTTCACAGTGTTTATGATAATATATAACTAATAACAGTAGTGGACTGGTACATCAGCTCAGCCTTAGTACTGACGCCTGGTGCTCCACGTGGGTTCTGGGCCACAAGCCACAACCTGGGGGAGATCCGGGGTACTGACCAACACCGCCTTCGGGAGCAAATTGCTGGAAATTAATGGCTGCTGACTGAGTATGAATCTCCGTTAGTCAACTGGTTATGTTGTTGTGCACGAGTGCACCTTGACTGTCTTCCCTGAATCCTGGCCGGTAACTCGCAGGGTGGGTGGTACTTAGTGCCCGTCACTATCAATCAGTCCTTGAAATTGTATTTTTTGTCCTTAAGGATGAGTGTGTGGTTTTATCTGTGTTATAACTGCTTATTGAAGTGCTAACGTGTGCTGTGTGTTTCTTTACAGCTGTGCAACGCGGCCGCATCCCGCCGTCCCAGGGGATGGGGATGCCCAGCCAGTTTATGGCCAATGGTGACACCCTCAACGGTCACAGTTACCTGTCCTCCTACATCTCCCTGCTGCTGCGTGCCGAGCCCTTTCCCACGTCTCCTTACGGCCAGTGCATGAACGCCAACAACATCATGGGCGTGGACAACATCTGCGAGTTGGCATCACGGCTGCTCTTCTCGGCCGTCGGCTGGGCCAAGAATATCCCCTTTTTCCCAGAGCTGCAGGTGACGGACCAAGTAGCGCTGCTGCGGCTGGTTTGGTCTGAGTTGTTCGTGCTGAACGCTTCCCAGTGTTCCATGCCCCTTCACGTGGCGCCGCTGCTGGCCGCCGCTGGCCTCCACGCCTCGCCCATGGCGGCCGACAGAGTGGTCGCCTTCATGGACCACATCCGCATCTTCCAGGAGCAGGTAGAGAAGCTGAAGGCTCTCCACGTGGACTCCGCAGAGTACTCCTGCCTCAAGGCCATCGTCCTCTTCACCTCAGGTAAGTCACTCAACAGCGACTCACGTGAGGCTGATGTTGCCAGAGCCTCCTGAGATAACATGTTTATGTCCTGGCTCCTTTATATCTTCTGTGAGTCGGTCTTATTGGGAAGGAAGTTCTGAACCAGAACTAAATATTGTCAAAACCTTCCTTGTTACCAGAGTAAAACACGCGACCATCTAACATGCTTCATTCATTAACTCCAAATATTAAGACAAAGTTTTCCTGAAAACAACTAAATGTTTTTCTGCGCAGCTGTGTCTCAGTAGGCAGGTGTTTTTATCCTTGGCTGCTAGTGTAGCAGATGTGTCAGCAGGGCTCACCTCTGCCCCTGCTCTCTTAATCAGCCATACACCGCCTCTACTATATATATATATATTTTTTTTTATTGGGCACTCCCCTACATCCTTGTGTAAGGTGAAGCGCAGAAGCGTTTACATCGCCCAACAGGTCTTGCCTTTATGTCTCATGAGTTAAGGGCGTAGAAGCCTGAAGAGTCAAGGGAGTAGAAGCCTGAAGAGTCAGTGGTTTATGTCATCAAGTTATTGTAAGCTCCAACAACTCCCTGAATACGAATTCGCAACTTTCGACTTACAACAGGTACCTACTTTACTGCTAGGTGAACAGGGACTAATGGGGGCTAGGGAATCGAACCCGTGACATCTCACTTGCGAAGCAAGAACGGTACCGCTTCTACCACCGGTCCCCACCCTCTACTATATACAAAACAGTACAGACGAGCGAGACCAAGCAGGAGCTGACCTCGCCCGCCCCGGCAGCACAACATACAGAGAGGGTTATCGCCGTGACCCTTATAATCTGCCACCTCGTCAACTGTGTCCCCCTGACGCCCTGTTCTCCCCTCCTTATGTTTACAAAGTGGCCTCCACCTCATCCCCTTCCTACTCCTCAACCCTCTCCCCCCAAACACCACTCATTCTCCCCCCTCGCCCCAAACATTCCTCACCCTCTCCCCCCTCGCCCCAAACACCCTCCACCCTCTCCTCCCTCGTCCCAAACACCCCTCACCCTCTCTTCCCACTCTGCCCCTTCCATAACCCACGCTCCCCCTTGTCTCCTGGTCGCCCCTACTTGAGGCGATAAAAAGCTCCAGTGCTTGACCCGCTGCCCATTGTTACCCGCCATGACATCAGCAGGGGCGGCTAGTGACGTCAGCAGGGAACCCTCATTATATCTGACGTTGTGGTTAGTTGTGGAGGTGTTTGTGTGGTGGACGGTGGTGTTTGTGTGGTGACGACGGTGTGTGTGTGTGTGTGTGTGTGTGTGTGTGGTGGTGACAGTGTGTGTTAGAATTACAAATGAATGTCAGGAAATCTTAAGTAACATGTTCCCGGCCACTTGTAGTAGTAGTAGTGTAAGTGAACTTATATAAGGAAATGGAGTCTTACTGAGCGTCCCAGGTGATGACAGGAGAAAAGCTCTCTCTCTCTCTCTCTCTCTCTCTCTCTCTCTCACTTTTGTTCCTTTGCACCCCTTCATGTCAGAGCTGGCCAGCATCCTCGACACAGCCTGCCGTGGCACCTACAGTAATAGTGGTAGACACACACACACACACACACACACACACACCTAATGAGTGTAGGTCCTCCTGCCCCCACCCACCCGTCCCCCCATCACCAAGATTGTCTCACTCTTAAATGATTGAATCACAGATAGACACAAATCAGATACGCAGATAGATAGGTTGATCGATAAAGAAATGATAGATAGATAGATAGATAGATAGAGTAGAGAGAGAGACACACACACACACACACAAACACACACACACACACACATCATTTATACATTTATACACATACAAAATCGACCATGACTTGCGATATATATTTAGAGTTTTATCCAGTATAATTTCCCTATAATATATAACTGTGTCGTGGCTCCATATATAATCATTAATTAGCGAAGAGAATTGATCCAACAAATCTGTTTACTCGGAGTGGATTTAACCTAACTTAACCCTCCGCCCTTCACTGCTTTCACATTCTTACTCCCGCCTCCCACACACACACACCCCAGGCTTCACCACATTCTTACACTACCCACACACCTTCATTCACCTTCTTCTTTCATTCAGATTTTTTTTTCATTCATAAGCCGCCAATCGTACATTCCCATGTCTCTTTGTTTACGTTTCTTCATTCTGATTTTTTTTCTTTCTTTTTTCACAGGTATTTATTCGACTTCATTCATGTTTTTTTTTCACCCATTTACCCTCAATGATTTTACTTCATTCATAAGTATACAAACATTCACTCCGGTGTCCTCATTCACACAGCATCATTCAGCACACACTATTACATTCTTACGCAAACATTCTTCTTCCCCTTGACATTCTCATATTCCAGCAACCAACACACACACACACACACACATTATCTCTCTCACTCTCTCTCTCTCTCTCTCTCCCATCACATTACTACAATCTTGCCTCAATATTTACACATCGCAACGCTTCTGGACTTCACTTCTGTTGCGATTATGAGAGAGAGAGAGAGAGAGAGAGAGAGAGAGAGAGAGAGGAGGAGGACGTATTAAAGAAGTGGGATATTGAGAAACGAATGAAGGAAAGGAGAGAAGAAGGGAGGAGAGGAACAGATAGGAGGTGAAGGGGGAAGGAATGTCAACAAGGGCAGCCGATGATGGCACCCTCAGATAGGTCCTCGTCAGGAGAAAGTCTTGAGGCCTTTGTGGGAGTTATCAGGTCTTCTGGTAGTGTGCTTCTACCTGAGAGAGAGAGAGAGAGAGAGAGAGAGGCTAAGTGTACATAATTTAGTGATACAATTAAGAGTTATGGTCAGTTACATGAAGCAGACAAGAGTTGCCGCCCCTCACACACCCCACCTGCTGGTCCACGCCCACACCTGTCCCTCACACACCATCGCCTGCGGTTCTACGCCCACACCTGTCCCTCACAGACCCCCACGTGCGGGTCCACGCCCACACCTGTCCATCACACACCCCCCACCTGCACCACGCCCACACCTGTCCCTCACACACCATCACCTGAGGTTCTACGCCCCCACCTGCAGGTCCACGCCCACACTTGTCCCTCACACACCATCACCTGCGGTTCTACGCCCACACCCGTCCCTCACACACCATCGCCTGCGGTTCACGCCCACCCGTCCCTACAGACCCCCACGTGCGGGTCCACGCCCACACCTGTCCATCACACACCCCCACCTGCGGCCCGCCCAAACCTGTGCCTCACACCCCACCACCTGCAGCTTCACGCTCACTCCCCCCCTCACACACCGCCCACCTGCCCCCACAAAACCATGCCTCCACACACACACACATCTGCCCACACGCCATCTTACGCTCAGTACGCGTGTAATAAGACCTGCAGGTGGTGGCAGTTTCGGCCCAGAGGTACTTCCTGTTACCTGCTCCCCCCAGCCCTCCCACCCCTATCACCTGAGTAGGAGGGGAAGGAGGGAGAAGAAAAGTGTTGTTGCTGTCGTTCTAAGAAGCACCTCCCCACTCCCTGAGCCTTGGGTGTGTGTTATTAGTTAATCTTCGTTCTTTCGTTAAATTCTGTTTTCGTGAGATTCGTGTGTGTGTGTGTGTGTGTGTGTGTGGCGACAATCATGACCTTCCAGAGAAAGTGTCAGAATAACTCTCAGTCACTCAATACCGACAAATGGCCGCAAATTAGCAGTGATTTCGTGGTTGGGTTATATCTCCCCAAATGTCACCGTCCTACCACACCTCATTACTGAACCACAAATTGGCAGGATTTTTTGTTTCTTTTCTTAGATTATCGTTATTTCAACTTGACACTTGATTACCACTGTGAATATCTGTCTCAGACCTCGATAGTGTGGCGTTATGAGGCACGTGTGAGTCAGGTCCGCCAGCAAGACCAGGAGACCATGAGCTTTAGGGGAAAGGCCATCAGCTGGTGTGGTCTGGGGGGCGGCTACACCTACAATGGAAGGATTGATTGATGACGCCAGTTGACCTTATTGCAGGGCATAACGCAGCCCACCACTACCACCAAAAGGGCACCAAAGGTCACCAATTTATGAAGTAAAAAAAAATTAAACATAGAACGAAGTGTTTGACCGTTAAGGTCAGACACCAGCTTGGCAGAGCTGGACGGTGGTTGTCAATCGTGCCCGGTGACTGACGGCCGACGCACCGCATTTAGATTACATCTTCAATACTTGACTAACCAGAGGCACGTCATTCACACTCCGCTTTGCACTACAATAACCTGTTATCACGCCAAGTTCATCTGGTTATCCATCTTGCCTTAATGTTGCATCAGTTTAAGTAATTATGTGATGGTAATCTCTTTATTAACCTCTAATGTTGGCTTCATGAATATTGTGGTACGTGAGGAGAGGAGAAACCATGGTCTCTCTCTCGTTATCGCCCCTCCTTCACCCTTGATGTTGCACCTCTCCTACTGTTGGTGTTGAGCTGTTGTCTCATTGTTGTTCAGCTGTCAGTTCTGCCGTTGAAAGTGTGTCTGTGTTGGATGTTCCTCCCTGCTGTTGTTATTTACCACTCTAGCTGTCCGTGCTGTTGCGTTTCCTCGATCACGCTGTTGCTGCTGTTACTGACTCTCCAACAGCGTGTAGTGATGGTGGTAAATGTTGTGTTGGTGGTGTTAAGTCAGTGGACCTACACCCCTTATGAACTTACCTGACTTACCTCTCACTCTCCCTAATTCACTCTACCTGACTCAACCTTCCTAATTCACTCTACCTGACTCAACCTTCCTAATTCACTCTACCTGGCAAGATAAAATCGCACTCCGTTTTATGTACACACTCTCTCTAACAAAAATCTGATGAGCTTAGTACCTATCCCTCCCCACCTTCCCCAGATACCTCACCTTTCCCCTCGTCTACCTCCCCTCCCTTGTAACGTGACCTCCCCTCGTCAACGCCACTCCACGTAATCACGACCTCACTTGTACGGCTGTTGGCAAACCCGCGAAATATGACCTGCTGATTGGACCATTATGAGGGAACGCGAGGGGAAGAAGGGCATAAGTAAGCAGGTGACTGTGCTTAAGACTGACTGACTGATTGAATGACCGAATAGGTAAACGAATGATTGATTGGCCAGATTTGTGTGTGTATTATGCATGTACACGGAAATTATAAATAAGATTCGGGAGCCGGTACACGTACACACACACACGCTCCCAATAACAGATTACTAAACATGCACCAGACAATGCTTCCTGTTATACTTTTCTTGGTTCTTCATATGTTACACAAAATCTGTTCTTTATTGCTTCATATCTTACTCAAAATCTGTTCTTTATTGCTTCATATGTTTATAAATGACTCTACCAGTTTGGGTGGGAGAATTGTTAAGTTATCAGTACATGTGTTACCTAAGTCTTATACTCAGATAAGAGGTTGATTACAGGTATGATCATAATGTTGATCACAAAAAAATTATCTTGTTTACCTCTGACATGCTCAATCTTGATCTCACCAGTTTCCCGTTTTCTGTAGCTCCTCCCGTTTTCTGTTGTGTAGGAGGATAACTTAGCTATCTTTCTCGTGTGTCGTGATTGTACGTGATTTTTTGTGTTGTCTGGAGTATTAGTCTTAGTCTTGGAGGATAGACAAAAAGGTGTTCGAATAGAAATGGATTACTGAGTCTCCAATTCCATTCAGTGACAGGATAAATCGGTTGCAGCGAGGCAGGCAGGTAGGAGGAGGGTTAGGTGTAGCCGACGAGCCCGACAGTGACGGAGAAGCCCGCCAACAGGTCACTTCCCTGACCGGAAGTGACGTAACCGCAAACACTGACCCGCCACTCACGCCTCGGAAATTACCGGTGATGAACCAGCGTCGCCGCCGCCTCCGGGAGCCTCGGCCGGCAACTTCACCGACAAATCACGTCAATTTGAGCTTTTTGCTAAGATGTTTTCCGCGTTTCTACCCAGAGGAGCGAGAATAATCGTGCCGGAAGGACTGGAGGCGATCGTTGTCTACGAATTAATTATCCACTGTGATGGTATCTTGAAGATGGTTTACTTGGGGAAGGGGGAGGGCTGTTACACCTGGAGTGGAGGAGGAAGAGGAGGAGTTGCCTATAAGAGACGTAGATGGAGGGGGGAGGCGAAAGAAGTAAATGCAGTAGGAGGGGAGGGGTTGTTGGGAACGAGGGAGGAGGAGTTGCCTGAGGGAGGTGTGGTTACGTGGGAGGAGGTACCTGCTGGGGTCGTGGTGGGGGGAACCAAGTTGTGGATGACCAAAATATGACAGGTGTAAGTGACAGGTGTGGGAGACGGACGTAAGAGACAGGTGACAGAAACGTACAGTATATGAGACAGGTGTGAGAAACGTATATGGCACAGGTGTAAGAAAAGTGTATGGCACATGTGTGAAACAGGTATGACAGGTGTGGGAAACGTGTATGAGACAGGTGTGAGACAGATATGAGACACGTATGTTTGACAAAAGTGACAGGTGTGGGAGCATACTGAGGATATCCAGGGAAGATGAGGAAGGGGAACGGGGGAGGGGAGGAATGGGGAGGGGGAGGGGAGAGGGGAGGGGGTTCCCAATAAACTAGGAAGAAGCTGGTGATGAGAATACTCTTGCCTCGTAGGAAGGATAAAGACTGATCTAGGAGGCAGATATCCCAGGAAGGAAAAAAGTAGACAGGCAGAGTAATCTAGGACTGTGTGTGTGTGAGCTGTGAGAAGAGTGTAGCAAGCTGAGAAGTGTGATCTAAAAGAAAATCTGTTGTGAGCTGAGACACACACACACACAGAGAAGACAAAGGGATGCATTCTTATACCCTTCGCCTGGATGGCTCTGGGGAGACAGGGATACAATTTGGTGGGTGTCTCCAAGGCCTGAGAGAGACATAATAACACAGACTACAGTGACACAGGGGGCGAGGGGGGTCACTCACTACAGCACGACCACCAGAAGGAGTTATGACGAGAGAGAGAGAGAGAGAGAGAGAGAGAGAGACCTTAAGATTTACGTCCAGGTGTAGGATCTCTCTCTCTCTCTCTCTCACATTACCTCATTTGAAGCGACAAAATCGAGTTAGAACTTATAATTACGATGATGAGGCGTTGACTAAATCCTTAAGAACAGCCTTAGGATGATGAGGAGGCTTGTGGAAGGATATAAGGATACACTTATAGGATGAGGGTGGGGGTGGGTGTGAGTCACGCTCGGCTGGCCCTCTTGTTATCCTTGATCTGAGAGAAGGCGCGCGCCCACGCCTGTTTCAGAGGGCAGGGCGCGGGTAAACCACTAAAATGGTGACGGAGGCCAGCTGTAGACGACACATACACACAAACAAACACACATGTACAAACAAACACACACACATATACAAACACACACACATATACAAACACACCTGCACAAACAAACAAACACACACACATATACAAACACACCTGTATAAACAAACTAACACAGATGTACAAACAAACAAACAAACAAACAATTACAAACAAACAAACACACAGGTACAAACTAACACACTCACAAACACACGTACACAGACAAGCACACATGTACAAACAAACACACACACGTACACAAACAAACACACACACGTACACAAACAAACACATAAAAGCAAAAACCAAACACAAATATACAAAACACACACACACACACACACACACACACACACACACACACACACACACACACACACATTTCACTAAGGCTATCCTAACATCTCGACCCAACCTCACCTCATCCAACAGTGAATGGATGACCCAAAACAACAACAACAACAACGAGATATTTCTAAATGGTTAACTCTTGTTGATTCTGGTTTACAGTTAAATAAATAAATGAAATAAATAGGAGGACGGTGATAAATAGGTGAGGATGTAATAGGTGGATTGAATGTGTATTATAAACAGTGGGTGAAAAATAGGAAGTTGTTGTATGTAGGGAGTTGAGAGAGAGAGCGGGATGATAGTTAATCTCTCTCTCTCTCTCTCTCTCTCTCTTGCCTTTTGTCTGTCCACTCTTCTTGTTTACCAACTTCATAAACAACCTAGAATTAAAGAATAAGTAAAGACGAAAAAGAACATGACCTGGACATAGGAAGGCTGAGAGAGGGGGGTAACACTATGGGGTGACACTGTGTGGGAATGACACTGTGTGGGGGTAACACTATGTGGGGTGACACTGTGGGTGACACCATGTGCACACTATGTGGGGTGACACTGTGTGGGGGCGACACTATTTGGGGTGATACACTGTGTGTGGGTGACACTATGTGGTGTGTGACGCCACCTGGGGGTGACACTCATGGGGGTAACACTCATGTGGGGTGACACTGTGTGGGGGTGACACTGTGTGGAGGTGACACACGTGGCGGTGACACTGTGTGGAGTGACACTATGGGGCACACTATGTGGGGGTGACGTGCGGTGTGGGGCGACACTCATGTGGGGTGACACTATGTGGGGTAACACTAAGGGTGGGGGTGACACTGTGTGGGGGTGATTTCACTATGTGGGGGGTAACACTATGTGGGGGTGACACTGTGTGGGGTGACACTACATGTGGGGTACCATGCGGGGTGACACTGTGTGGGGCGACACTATTGGGGGTGATACTGTGTGTGGGTGACACTATGTGGGTGCACACGGGGTGACACCAAGGACACTATGTGGGGGTAACACTCATGTGTGGGGTGGACATTTGTGGGGTGATTTACTTGAGCTTGGGGGGTGGACACAGGTGGGAAGACACTATGTGGGGGATAACACTGTGTGGGGGTGGACACTTTATTTGGGGATTACTCTCGTGTGTGGGGTGACACTGTTTGGGGGTGACACTGTGTGTGGGGGTGACACTGTTTGGGGTGACACTGTGTGGGGTGACACTGTTTGGGGGTGACACTGTGTGGGATGACACGTGTCCTGCCTTAACCATGCAGGTGTGGAGAATGACACGTGTCCTGCCTTAACCATGCAGGTGTGGAG